GGGTTCCTTTCCGTGGTCTCGGAGTTCCTCTCGCCTGGTTCGGTGGGGCCCAGGTAACCCCCCTCCCCCTCAGCGCGAGGATGTGACCCACCCACTGCTCTGCCTTCAAGGGGCAGGAGAGGACTCGGGCCGAGCGGTGATGGAGTTGGAATTACCAGACCTGAATGAAGAATGTCCCATTCTGAAGGGCTGGTAATTCTGCAGCGTCCCAGGTGGAGACTGGAAAATCTGTACGGAGCATTCAGCTAGTTTTGCCAATTTTTGTTACTTTATATGAAAATGCAACTTTTTTAAAAGAGCTTTTTCTTAAAATCCCACTGATCTGCTGTGTAGTGCCTGAGCCTGGCTGTTTAACATCAGTGTTCCCAGAATTTGTCTGCAGTGATTTACAATTCGGGTCGGTAACAGCAGTGCCCCAAACATAAGGCAAAAATTGGCTTAATTGCCCTTCTTCTGCAGTTCCAGTATCAATGGCAGCAGTTCAAGTGAGTTTAAACTGGTCTTGTCGCGTTAAACCATTGCTTTCTCTTTGCCATTACTATTGCGAAACAGTAACTTTTTACTTCACTGGGTTTTATTCTTTTCTCTGCACTTGAATGGCTGCTAACATCTTTGATTAAAACGTGTGGGCATGTGGCAAGCCCACGTTCTCTGAAGAACGGCAGTACCTCGCGCTCTCAAAGTTTACTATTGCGTGCATTTCTGTATCTCTCTTTTCAAGCTCGTGATGAAGTGTATTTATTTCAGTTCAGGTTGTGTTCAGAACTGGCTAATCTCTCCCTCCGATGGATTATTTATTAAACTGCTGCTTTCTGGTTGTGTTGAAGTTCTCTGTCCTCATCCTTCTCCCCCGCCTGCGTTACGAGACAGCTTTCCAAGCCCACCCCGCGCGTCTGCCCAGCACATCTTGACCCTTGTAGGTTGTGCTGAAGAGCGTGTTACAAGATGCAATGCATCAGCCCTTGTAAACCGACCTCCTGTCTCGAACGGGCACAAGTTGTTATTTCTACCAGTCCCTTAAAACTGAAGTATTCTAGAGCAAAAAGTACTTGGAACCAATTCACGTTCACCCTTGCTCCTAACAGAGCGACCCAGGTTTCCATGGCAGCGTGGAAGCAGCAGCACTGCGGCAGCTCGCGCCTCTCCGGTGCTTCGGCATGGACCGTTCGAGCCCTGACCCTGCTGCTGGGCGCTGGACGGGGGCCGAGAGCTTGTGGGGGTTTCGGCCGCTTCGTGCAGGGCCCCGTTCGCCACGTTGGGCCGGGGGGGGGGCAGCAGGAGGCGCTGGAGGAGGGATCGACCACTGCGGGTTCGTGTGAGCTGGGGCAGGGCTGCCTGCCCCCATCCCCACCCCGAGGTGGTGGAGCAGGTCCCCGGCTCCCGCCTGCCCCGCAGCAGCCTCCTCCCGGGGCTGGTTGTAGCATCCCAGGCTCTCTTGTCTCCCAGCCAGGCTTAATTTAGATCTTATCTTGCTCATTTAAACACTTCTTTTGGTGTTGAGGATGGTACTCAGTGAACAATATAATCACAAGCAGTATAAACACATCCAGGCAGCTCTTGGATGGGATCTGGTGTTTGATGGCAGATATCCCGTAACGAGCGGGAAACGCAAGCCGTCCGTTATACAACGTGTGGCCTTTTGCATTTATTTCCTCTGGACTGGAGCTTATTTTTATTTTTGTCATCTTTATTGGAGAAAGAACCCTCAGCTTGTCTCATTTTGCATCTCCTTGGAGAAAAAGGGAAGGTATTTCAATACAGCGTGGTGTTGGCCGGCCCCTCCTCAGCGTGGTGGTCGCTCGGGTGGCGCGCACAGCCCGGCACTGCTGTGATGGCAATGCTGTGGGCGAGGGGCAGAGCCGGGCTGCGGGATGAGCCTCCCCAGGGAGAGATTCCCATGTTTTGTACCATGCAGAAACATTTCATCTTGTTCCAGTCGGCCTCATTAGCACCTGCTCCAGCACCGTCATTTCTGGTACCAGACGACAGCGGGTGCTGGTGGTGACAGCCCAAGGCTACACCCCAGCCCAAGGGGCTCTGGCGCTGCCGGCGGCGGCGCGGGGGTATCCTGTGCCAGGGGCCCATGCTCGTCCCTCTGCGGTTTGTGTCCCCCCGCTGAACTGTTTTGCTTCCTGAGAAATGCCTCTGGTCCGAGCATTGCCCGGCAAGAGCCCCCCGCTCCTGCCCCTCGGGAGGAGCACAAGCGGCTTCCAGGAAAAGCGATTTGGTTTCTGATTCTTGAAAGCCACCGTTCCCTCCACTCTGACCCGAAAGGTTTCCTGTTGGGTGGAAAACCATGGGGACCCGTGCCTAAGCTGGCTCTTTCCGCCCTGCGTCTGCAACCTGCTGATCTCTCTTTGCCACGTTCGGGGCAGGAGGCGCTGCCTGTGCGCCACCGGGATGGAGGGAGGGTCCTCAGACACTGTTAAGGGACAGACCCCAAGCTGGTCTGGTGCTGGCGCTGCGGTGGGTCACTGCACGGGGGCGAGGGGGAGCTCAGGGCCAAACCTGTGCGAGCTGCCCCGGGGGCCCACAGCCGCGTTGCTCTGAGCTCGGACGAGTCCCCTGACCTCTCCCTGCCTCGGTCCCTGCACTGCCAGAGCTGGCCCGCACGGAGCTGGAGGTTTTCCAGGTTTCCCTAACTCCGATGTCCTCTGCCCTCCATGTTGCCCGTCCACTGGTGTGGCGGAGGCCGGGGCAGCTCCCGGGCGCTCGCGGCGTCAAGTGCTCTGCAAGCCCCGAACCGGAGGAGGCGCGTCGCGAGGCGCTGGGCTTTCTGGTAGCTGTTCATCTCCTGGTGACCGGTCTGGGAAAGCTTTGTTTTAAAAGAAAGGTCTGTTCCGTTGCTGCTCAGCTCTGGGTTGGATGCTGATTTATGGGTTTTTCTTTTCTCATGTGAAGCATCATTCTGAGGGGCTCGTGGAGAGCTGCCTCCGATGCAAACACCAGCGTCCGGCCGTTTTGTCCCCGGCTGCAGGCAGAGGCTGCGCAGCTCCACAGCCCCCGGCACTCGGCACAGACCTGGCAGCCGGCGTGGCTGCGGGCACCCAAAGGCCAGGACCGATCCCCCCGGGACCTGTCGCTGTTGGTCGGTTGTTGCAGAAGCCCCAGCAGAAAGCTGCACCAGACCCCAGCCAAGGGCGGCTTCCAGAGCTTGGATAATTTATTTTTTTAAGTCTGTGATTTGCCTCTCCTGCCCCAAAATCCTGTAGCATCGACTGTGGTCTGTGAGGACAGTATTTCCCTTCTTTAAACTCTTACTCGGTGATGTTACGAAGCTCTCCTTTCCCTAACAAAGTAACCCACCGCTCGGTGCTTACCCTATCCGCAAACCACCCTGGGTGTGCAGCCTGTGCCGCCCTGGCCACTCCCTCCCGGGGCCTTGGCTCACCCGTCCCCCATGGAGGGACCAGCGAGGCGCCTCGTGCGCTGAGCAGGCGCCGCTGATCCGGGATGGGGAAGCAAAACCCTGGCACCGCGTGTGCGTCCTCGGGCGTCCTGGGCTTGCTGCCGGGAAGAGCTGGGCCAGCGTGGGGAGCAGCCCTGGCCACGGCTTGTCCCACACCAGGGCTGGGCCAGGGGCTCCGGTGGCCGCTGGAAACTCCGGGAAGTGGCTCTGTTAACACAGGATGGAAGGAACAAAAACCCCAGAGTCATTAATCACCCGGCTTCAGCTGAATGTGCGTATTTGATGGCAGCTGTTTACAGAGCACTTCCCTTGCTCGGGGGCCTCCCGGACCGTCAAAGGATTAATTACCTGGCCTCGATGCACCCCGTGCCGGGAGCTGCCTCTCCGGAGAGTTCCCGGATGGGAAATGGACGGGTCACGCGCCGACTTTCCACCTTCTGCGACAGGAGGTGCAGGGCTGGGCATGTCCCCTCTCTCGGCCCTTTGTCACCTTCCCCGGCAGGGCGGGATGGGGCAGAACTGGGCCCATCTCTCCCTGGGAAGCTGGGTAGGAGCGAGGAAGTGATGCCAGACCTGCCTTGAGACAGAAGAGGCGCTGAGGCTGTGCCAGGGCCTTGGGGCTAGATAACACGGGGTAATCAACATCTTCCACATCGTGACACTTTCTCAATCTATACCATAAAACCAACCCTCCCAGGAACACCTGCCTTCATCCTTGAAAACACCCTCTTCTGGGAATAAATGCTGTTTGCAGCCTTGCTGAGCAGCACCAGGGCCTGGGGCTGGACACCCCCTCCCTCTGCCCTGGGGACGTGCCTTTCCAAACCCCACACTTCGGGGCTGGGGGCCAGTTCCTCCCACCCAACCTTGTTCCACTGCCCAGGCTGTGATGGGGGCGGCTGCCCGTTCCCACAGGCTCCCGGTGGGACGTGCCCCGGGCAGATGCCACAGCCGTGGGCTCCCCCCTGCCGCCCTGCGTGCCGGCCGCAGGCAGCCATGCTCACCAGCAGTGCCAAACACGGGCCCTGGCCCTGATTTTGGGGCAGGGGGTCTGAGATGGCCCCTGCCATAGACAGAAGTCCCCAGCCAGCCCCACGCCGGTTCATTTCATGTTGAGGCATGAAAAGGGCTGGTTTGCCAGGGGCTCTGGTGGAGCCCTGTGAGAAGCAGGAAAGGGACGGGATCTCGGCCACGTCTTGGGGTGCAGGTGCCTGTGCAGAGTTGCCCGATGGGGGTGATGGGGTCCCCTGCAGCCACGCAGGGACCCTTTGGGCCAAGGTCTCTCCGGGGTTTGGTACGGCTGGCACTGGCATGGCCCTTGGCTTCGGAGCTGGGTGTTGGGAAAGAGCTGAACTTGGACAAAGGTCAGAAACCTCCCTCTGGAAATACCCCTCAGGCTGGAAAGTCGCAGAGGCCCCCGGGGTCGGTGCTCACGGGGCGGTTCCTACAGAGCTTAAGAAGGGCTGAGGACGGGGCAGGCGGCCAGAAGGAGACAGCCCCAGCCGGCGGCGTTCGCTCCCTGGAAAGAGGGAGGGAAGGAAGGAAAACCAGCCCTTGCTGCAGCCCTGCTTCCCCACCTTCTCTGCGGACAATGCAGCCGGCTCCTCTCCTCCTCCTCCTCGGCTTGCTGCAGGGCTGCAGTGGTGAGTGCTGGGGACTACGGGCTGTCCCGATCCCTCAACCCACTGTGCTGCCCGGCCCTGCTGCTGCTGTCTTTGCTTTGCCGCCTGGCACCGCGGGCCAGCGTGGCTCCAGGGCCTCCCACTGCTGAGCCCCGCCGTGTCCCACGTGCATCGGTGCTGCAGCGCTCCTTGCCCTGGTGCTCGGAGCTGTGGAGCATGCCTGGCCCGGGTCCACTGTCCCACGGCCAGAACAGCAGCGATGCTGAAGGATGAGAAACGGGGGGAAAGGGGCATTTGGGCTCATTTCCCTGAGAAATGGCTGGAAAAATCTCAACGGCAAACCGAGATGGATCAAGCCGCAATGCCTGCGACGGGGCAGACCGCGGCTAGCCGCGGGAGTGTGGGCTCCGCGGCGCTCCGGGTGCCTGGTGGCGGCAAGTGGCTGCCCCGGGACACGGCACTGCGGGGGAAGCCTCTGCCACCCCCAATGAGCCCTCGCTAACGAGCGAGGTGATGGGGATGGAGCTCATGTGGTGCCTGAGCGTGACTGTCCACTTCTCAGCGAACGGGGCAACCGGTGTCCTGCTGCCTTGTAAACAGCTGGTTCTGGGGATTGTCCCCTTCCCTGAACCCCCCTGATTTCCTCCTTCCTCTGCCCAGGGCGACCCACCAACAAGCTGGTGGTGATGCCACAGGAGCCGGTGGTGCAGTACGGGGGCTCAGCACAGCTGAACTGCTCCCTGGCCTGCACGGGGGGCACGGTGCAGTGGAAGGGGCTGGACACCAACCTGGGGAGCATCACCTCCTTCCCCACCCACAGCATCCTGCACGTCAGCGGCGCCGTGGTTGCCACAGAGGGCATGAAGGTGTGCCAAGGGACCTGCCACGGGGAGCACTACCAGCGCACTGTCTACCTGCAGGTGTACGGTAAGCGTTCCCCAGCCCGTCCCTTGCAGCCTCCCCGGCAAAGTCCTGGATCCCTGAGGCAGCCCGCTCCCTCCTGGGCTGCGGTGCCAAAAATCACTGCTTGACGCTGCGGTTCCTCGCTCAGCCCTCCCGGACACGCTGCAGCTGGAGGCAGAGCCCCGCGCCTTGGAGCCGGCCTGCCGTGCTTGCCCCAGCCGGGTTACCCGGTCACGGGGCTGGTGCTCACCTGGTACCGGGGGGACCAAGCGCTGAAGGAGGCAGACACAAATGTCACAGAGACAGATGAGGAGCTGTTCAATATCGTGTCCACGCTGCTGGTGGCCAGGGAGGAGGTGGAAGAAGGGGTGGAGTTCAGGTGCAAGGTGACGCTGAGCATCGGGCAGGAGACCTTCACCCGGGTGGCATCTGTGGCCGTGAGCGCTGGGGGTGAGTGCTGGGGTAGGAGCAGGGCACCTGGGTTCATGCGCTGCCCTGTCTGCTGGAGCCGACCCCCGTTGCCCTGCCTTGCTTGAAGGAGCTTTCCTGGAACAGGAGCCGCCCCCATTTCTACGCCGCTCTGCAAATCTCCTGTCCCTGTCCCTGTCCCTGCTCTGTGCCAGAGGTGCCGGTGTGCTCCTGCTCGTTGCCTCTCCCTGCCCAGGATGGCTGCGTTCATGGGGTGGAGGGCGACGGGGCTGTTGGGCAGAGGGGGCTGTCACCCCACGGGGATAATGTATGCCTAAGAGGCCCTGTCCCAGCTCTGAGCTGCGGCGAGGCTGCCGTGACCCCCTGTGTTCAC